GCAACTAAAAACAGAAGAGGCTCCCTCAGGACACACGCAGCACTCTTCCCCCTCGCTCTCTCTCTCCACTTCGCTCAGAAAAAGTGGAAGCAATAAATCTCTTTAGATTTATGCATGTCTTAAAAATGGTTTTTAAGTATCATATGCAGAGTTACCCATACCCTTATTATAAGTGCCAAATTAGGGGCATAGAAAGAAGATATTTTTCAAAATCTGTGGCCAGATCATGCTGTGAACTATATACTATAGACTCAGTGTCATCTTTAAATTTAACAAGATGAGAGAGCTAATTTAGAAACTCAGGAACCAGTTTATAAAATTTACGCTTTTTTAAAGTAGCAAAAAACAGAAAAGATTTATTCTGTTCCACTAGAGTTGTTCCTAGACCCAAAGCTATTAGGGATCACCTGATCAGCAAACCCAATATTATATGAATCTATAGACCGGCAGATTAGATCAATGTTAGATGATAGATAGATAGATAGATAGATAGATAGATAGATAGATGATAGGACAGATAGATAGATAGATAGATAGATAGATAGATAGATAGAAGATAGATAGATGTTTGTTTATACTATTACCCAAATTATCTCCTTACTGTGAACTAAAATAGGCCACCCCAATTTTTAAAAATATTTTTATCATTTTTATTTTATTGTTTATGAGTGTACTGCCTGCATGTATGTAAATGCAGAGGTCAGAAGAGGGTATTAGATACCCTAGAACTGGAGTTACAGATTGTTGTAAGCCTCCTTGCAGGTGCTGGGAACCAAATCCAGGTCCTCTGCAAGAGCAACCAGTGCTCTTGACTGCTAAGCCATCTCTCCAGCCTCTCACCCAAAATTCCTAATATGATGATACTGGAAATAGAGCTTTTAAAGGTACTAGTTTCCAATGAAAATACAAGAGTGGGGCCTGCATGTTGGGATTAGTGCCTTCCTACAGTGGCTCATGCCTGCAATTCCATTATTCAAGAAGATGAAGTAGAAAGATTGTGAGTTTAAGGTCAGCCTGTGCTGGTGACTTTGAAGCCAACCTGGGCTACACTGTAAACTCTATCTCATACATACATGTGCATATGTATACACACACACACATGCACACACATACACACACATTACTGCACATAGATACCAGAGACCAGAGAGCTCACTCTGCGTGTGTGTGTGTGTGTGTGTGTGTGTGCGTGTGTGTGTGCAGAAGAAAGGTCATGTAAGGGCATCACAAGAAACTAGCCACCTAAAACCCAAGAAGACAGAGCCATAACAAAGAACTGAACTGGCTGGCACCTGAATCTCAGTGTTTCCATTCTCCAGAATTATGAAAAAAGAGTCATATTTTATTGTTTAAACTTGGGTACTTGGTTATGGCAGCCCAAACAGACTAACACAAACCTATCCTTTTCCCTCCTTAGAGGGTAGAAAGGAGCTTGAAGGACTAAAATTCCATCTGATTATACGATCAAAATATCCTTTTTGTCTTTGAGAGCTAAATCCCTGTTAGCCACAAAAGGAACACCTAGTACCATATCAATAGGCCAATAAGTCAACAAATAGAAATTATTTAGAGTTTGCAACAGAAGACATAGCTAGTGGAAAATCCCCAGAGCCTGCCTTTGTAGGCTCAATAGACATGTTTACCATTATTATTTTTAAGTATTCTATACAACAAGGAATGTTGCGTTACTATTACTTGAAGACAGTAAAAAATCGGGTTGCTACCCAGCAGAACAATCCAGTGAGGAAGAATCATCATCCATAAAGCCAGACATATAGAGCTCAGGACCAGAAGACAAAATAGAAACCCGTTACTCTCTTCCCTTCATGTCTATTTGTCACTTCCAAAAAATATCTGGAAATATTCTGGAGGGATAATGAGTTTTTCAGCACATACATGGGATGAGAGCTGGAGTCAGTATTATTCGTAATGTGAAGAACAAAGAGCACCTGAAGGACTTGGGGATCCACAAGTACATGACACCTGCCACTGTCCTACTCTCCGTGGATGTGGGTCTTTGGAGGGGGAGGAGATGTTGCAACAGAAGCATGAACTTCAAAAGAAAAGAAAAATAAGCTTCATCTACAGTGCCCTATGAATGAAAAAACACGTGAGCCCTTCTTAAAACCACCAGCCAGGATCAGAGGAGAGGCTTTGAACTTAATCTGACTGCTAGTCTCATCATAACCTCCCTGAAATAGTTAGCAATTTGAAATAAATCCCAAATGTTTGATTGGAGAACAGTGAGGGCTAAAAGATTATATACATTCATCCCTAAACCACTTAAAGATTAGAGTACTTCCCATGAAAAGAGATTTCAGATCAGAAAATATGTAAGGATAGAGGAAG